TGAGAAGCCTGATTGATTTATTGTGTAAGATAGAATTATAATTAACTACATCACCTTAGCAGAATATGACTGACCCAAATTTTTATTTATTGATACGTGAAATTTACTGTTGTCATGAGACCATTTCATTAAGTTGTGGGTAATTCAACTCTCAACCCTACATTGCCTTGAACGATTTGGGTTTACTCAAGTTCCTGTTTGAGGTCCATTAAATTGGTGATCAATTCACGTGGTTTAAACTATTTTATACAATAAATTTGATTATGTTTTCACAACTTAGCCGCACTTTCAGAGAGAGTACAGAAAAATTGGCCATGCTTATATTTTTGTTTTGCTTAAACGTCTTATCGGATTGGAGCATTTTGCCGAATACTTTCTTGAGCACTATAACGACAGTAAACTTACAAACAAGAACCCAATCGACTTATGTCACATAATGTGACTGATGATTGAGCTTTCTCACAATCACATGACTAGGCCCCACGAGACCGGCAACGCTAACTTGATGCTGCCTCCCAAAGGGTATTCTCATTCAGGGTCAACTGCAGATTACTCCCCGTCTTGGTGTAATCAACATCCTAAATGGAATTCGATGACAGATTCTATCAGTCCTTAAATCAAGTCAACTGACCTAGACTGATTATGTTCGTATTCAAAAATTATTGAGGAATTCAAAAATATTCGCGTAAAATTTTATTAAATACTAATTTAATAACAATTAGTATTTTTATGTACTACTATTAAGTATATTCTACTTATATGTAATATATTATATATATATAAATATATATTTATATACTTCCTAGATTAATTTTATATACAGGCATGCTGAAATTAGTACGAGTAAATTCATTTTGTAAAAATGTCGTACGATTTAATATCGAACTATTCAAGGCAAGCATGCCATGCAATTAAATCTATATCATTGAAAAAGTTTAATAAAGATTTTATAATATAACTATTTTTTCTCTATTATAATTAAAGCAATTCAGTATATCAAGCATCTTAATCGGTTGTTCATATATATATATATATATATATATATAGTATATATAAGTTGAGTATACTTAATAGTAGTACATAAAAATACTAATAGTAATTAAATTAGTATTTAATAAAATTTTACGCGAATATTTTTGAATTCCTCAATAAGCTTGGCCAGGTTTCCTCTGAAACGAGTGAGGATACCTCGTGGACGGCATCAGCATGAACATCGTATTAAAGCCAAATGACAGCAGAAAAATTGACATCAGGCGTCGTCTTCTTGTGAGATCAGCTATCGAATAACTTTATCATGCACTTTCATACAAAACGAAGGTTTCCTCAATTTATGAACCCTGATGATACGACAACTGATGCATCTGCTCCACTACCATGCCTTTTTGGCGACTGCCAACTGAATTTATGTTCGTTTTTCATGCGCCAAGGTGACAATTTAGATCTCATACTCAATAGGATTTCACACACTCTGAACTAGCATTTATCACTACCTGTCACTACATGTAACTCCCCCTATCCCCCCTCCCCCCCCATTTAAAGGGAGAGTAGTATAAACTAACCGACTATATTCCACCCCTAATTATGATACCCAGAACAAAAAGGATAGTATAACAATTTACATATGTTGGGAACTAATTTAAAACATAGCCAAACATGATTCATTCAAACATAAAATATTTGTTGTACTATAATAACAGTAAAATATACATTATGGAGTATTTATGCCGATATAGGTAAAGTCGTATAGTGCTTTGTAATATTTTGAAACTAACATAAAACTAGCAAAATAACTCTTGGTAAAAGTAACTATTCAAGCCATTATGATTCTATTAGTCAGCAGCTGTCTTGTAGAACTTCTTTTTGTTCAGTCCTGATTTCCATTATCACAAGCAGATCCTACTTACTAGAAGCTGAGGCTCACTGATTAAGTCGACCGAATGTATCGTCCCATTTCAAAATTATTGCATTAACTAAGTGCAATGCATCAATTTCGGTGAAACATAGAGTAGCCACCAGATCCATGTTGCAACCTCAGCATAAGAAAGGCTTTTATCCTTGTCGCCACCAAAGTACCAAACAGTCACCTGACAGACGTGACCTTCAAGGTCAGATTAGCCTTTTTGAAAGCCACACCTGCTGGGCGACGGTTGGGTAGCCTGACTACCTAAAGCGACCTAAGCTGTTCATAATTTTGCCAAAAATCTCCACTTACCCTTTTGGCTACTACTTATGCTATCTTCGGCAACTTAGTTTTGTTTACTATCTCGAGCCTAGTTGTGGACGTTGATGAGACCCAGCCAGTTGAATACCGTATTCCAGTTTGGAGAAGACATTTTGGAAGGCAGGGCATAGTGAAAGTTATCGATGTGGGCAGATCGTCTTCTCACTTCATTCTGTGTGACGCGAATCTCAGACATTCATTGGGTTTGACGTAAATGACTTTTAGACTTGGTAATCAGAAATAGCCAATGGTTCACTTTTTTTCAATCTTTCAGTCGTGTTCACGCTTATCTCCGCCTGCGTCGTCTTCAACCCGGGCATACTCCGCGGCGGGTATTCTGAGAGGCCGGATTTCGGCTCTTGGCTCCTCGGCAACTGTATGCTGGCCGCCACGACCATCGGTCTCATCCTGATCGCATGGGCCGATGTCTCCTGATCGGGTATCAGACAAACGGTGCTCGCACAAGGAGATAGAGCGTCTTGACAATGGCGCAGAACTGTCTTACTTTTCGCAGCTTAAAGCCTCGCTTGAAGCAAACCATTCTCATTAATTCTGCTTTCTGTGAAACTGTGCTTGTGTGTTGCAGTAACGTATGCATGAAAGCTCATCTTCACGCATGCGTCCTGACGAGCTCTGCCCTTCGAGACACGAGAATACCCGCCTGGTTTGAGTGATTTTGGATCGAGTCAAGTGCACTGAAGTTCAGAATTTCAGTGCCCAGCTTCGGCCTGTCCTGTGGGCCAGTTTTACTTAATCTTCGGTTTTTTTGCTATCTCTATTCGTTTTTTGGCTTTATTTCTTTGCACAGAAAATTTTAAAAAAAGTTGCTGTTTTCAATACCACAAACCAATTTGATTTGGGATATGAGACAAGTGAAGCGGAACGGGGAAACGGAGCCTTTCAGAATGCGAACTAATGACCCATCAATTCGGCCAAGTCGGTGGTTGGGCAGAACTCACCTTGATTTCCCAAAGTTGGGATGTTACGGCCGAGACAGTCCGTAGTCGAGACGCCCTACTTCGGTACCGGTGGCGAACGCAGCTGAATTTTCACCTGACCCTGGAGACGGGCATCCTCAGGGCAGCTGGACACAGTTGTTGTCGGAACTTGGGAAACACTAACCGGCTCATTCCTGCAAGTTTTGCATGGTCCAACAGACTACATTTTGAAAAGGAGGCCGATTCAACCAGTTTGGTAGCATTTTCTGTTCTAAATTCAATCACTTCCACAACATCCAATCGCATACACGAGCCGCATCACTTCAGCCAGGCAGGCCTATACTCTTACTCAACCACAGTTAAACGAGCATGATGTTGTCTTTTATTCTAATAACCCAGCAGTTTACGCATATGCACACACTCAGGGATATAAGGACATATGAGCATACAAAATTACGAAAGTGAATGACTATGTGAAATTAAATGACATAACCACTATCGAAAATTTAGTCAATACTACTTGGCTCATTTTTTAAGCGACATAAGGTGAATTTAATTTTTTTGGTAAGGAGTCACTGATAGCTTTAAAATTTACACATTTCGTGCATACGAGAATGAAATCAGCGTGTCGGTGCCCTTTGGTACCTGCCCTATAAGTTCCTTTTTTGCATA